TTGCAGGAAGGAAACAGAATCTCTGGAGTAGATGATAAGAGAATTATAGCAGAGAACCATAGAGACTAATCACCTCTTCAATCCATTCAGTGATGCTCTGATCAACAGCACACTTAAATCACACTCACATCTGATATCTAAAGAGGCTTCCAGCTCGATTTGTGTCACTGCAGAACGACAGCAGTCATTTATCTTCAGAGCGATCAGAGCGACGTGTCAGACAAAGAGAGAGGACTATCCAAAAAACACAAGACTTCACTGCGAAAGTAATCCAAGTAATCCCAACTCACACAGAGAGTCTTTCCGTCTTAAATCAGCTGCTGCATGATTCACAGTGGCAAAAAGGAACATGTTTGAGGAAAGCACACTAAACAACCATGAATTAAGAGAGGCTTTAAAAGGATTATCCTGTAAGAAATCAGACAAATCCCAAGCTACAACACTTAAGCAGGTATTTGTGGGTAAATATGTTTGTGTATGTGAGTGTCTTTCCATTGTAAAAACACAAATATTGAATGGTTCTCACTCTGCTTTCTGTGATGTCGCAGTATTTATAAAATAAAGAGTAATTAAATAAAATGGCACATTTTTGTTAAAGAAACAGTTCACCAAAAAAATGGAAATTTGCTGAAGATGTACTCACACCATTCAAGATGTAGATGAGTTTGTTTCTTCATCAGATTTGGAGAAATGTAGCATTCCATCACCTGCTCACCAATGGATCCTCTGCAGTGAATGGGTGCCGTCAGAATGAGAGTCCAAACAGCTGATAAAAACATCACAATAATCCACAAGTAATCCACACCACTCCAGTCCATCAGTTAACAACTGGAGAAGACAAAAACTGCATGTTTGTAAGAAACAAATCCATCATTAAGACATTTTAACTTAAAACTGTTGCTTTTAACCAAAATTATATCAATAATTAATAATTCAACAACGCTTCAACCAGTGATAAAGTCCATCTCCTGTTGTCTCTTACATCAAAATCCAGCCACATATTTGTTTAGAGCTGTTTTGGACTGTTTTGACTTGTAAAAAGTGCTTGATCTGTGCAGATTTCTCTCCTGATTCAGACCAGACCACTTTTTCACTGGAGGAAGCGTTATTATGGATTTAGCCAGAAGCAATGGTTTGAAGTTAAAAACGCCTTAATGACGGATTTGTTTCTTAAATATAATACTATATAAACAACTGAAGTCAATGACATGTCCTCAAAAATGATCAATTCATAAATAAAATAAGTTAATAAATTATATTGATACTGTTATAATTAATAAGTATATAACATTAATATACTACACAGCTAAACTAAAATATAAAAATATTAATGTTATATATATATATATATATATATATAGTAAATAATATATTTAAATAAATAAATAAATAGTTTTAGTTTGTTCTGTTATATGAAATATACTTTTTCTCTAATTGCACATAGTACTCAAAATTAAATACTGTTAAAACAATTAACAGCTATCAAAATTAATTTAAATTTTGTCATACAGCACCACATCATTATCTGATATTTTTCAGATCAAAACTTGAATCCATTGAGTATTATGATTTATTAAATATACTGAGATTAAAGTGTATTTTACTCATCATTTTATCAAAATTACATTTTTGGCATACATTTTGCTTTTCCACATGATAACTGGATGCAAAAATTTGAATTTAAATAAAAATAAATATAAATGAATATATAATTCATTTTGAATAATTATGCCAGTTTATTCTGATATGTATTCTGGAATAGATTTAGTCTCTAGTTAGACATATTACTAAAAGTTAAATACTGTCAAAACAATTAACAGCTTTCAAAATGGATTTTAATTTGTCATACAGCACCACAAAATGTTCACGATATCAGATGATTTTATAAAATCAAAACTTGAATTACCCATTCACTGCAGAGGATCCATTGCTGAGCAAGTGATGCAATGCTACATTTCTCCAAATCTGATGAAGAAACAAACTCATCTACATCTTGGATGGCCTGAGGGTGAGCACATTCAGCAAATTTTCATTTTTGAGTGAACTATGTTTTGAATAATATTCTGGTGATTCATATTAAAATGAAAATGTTATTATAATGGTGGAATGCTCTTTCTTTCTCTTTCTTTTCTTGTTGGAAAACCCAAGAGAACATAATCAGCCAGACTTTTGCTTTAACCTGCCCATTGCCTTTCACGTCTGTGCTCCATAATAGCTGGGTGGTTTCAATCAAGTGCGTTGCGTTATTGTAACCGCTGGCCCTCTGAGCTGCGGTGTGGTCATGGGTAATGGCTGCACTGTCAAGCTAATGGTACCAAATTAGCATTTTAATTCCTGCACACTTGGCAGGCGGTGCACAAGGAAGGCTGCTGTAGAGACGCTATTGTTAGTAGCACAAAAATGGACCGTGCTGAGATAATGAATAAAATTACTGCGGCTAAAAATACAACACGCTGAAAGCTCCTACAACGGTTCAGGTGGTTCAGAGATGCAGTGCTGTTGTGCTGTTCTGTACCTCACATGCTGGTAAGCACTGAGTGGAACAGGCATATATTTAGACAATGTGCTGCCCGGTTTGGTTTGAAGAGAGACGATGCAGGCATGTGCTAATATGATTAGCCACGAGAGGATCTGTTGTGTATAGAGGAAGACAGGAGACTTGCATTTGGGTTCAGAATAACATGCCGGCGTTCGATCCTTACTATTTCTGCAGTACATAGTGTATCATTTACTCATTATTTCATCAAACTGACAAACAATACAAAATATAATTTCTTATTTCCAAGACTGTTTCCTTTTCAATTCATGACTTTGAATTAGAAATAAATATAAATAAATATATAGTTAATATTGACTAATTATCAAAGTTTATTCTGATATATGGAATATAATAAATACAAAATATAAAAAGTACTATTAAAATAAAGTATATAATAATGTATTATTCACCACAAAATGTTCACGATATCAGATGATTTTATAAAATCAAAACTTGAATTTAATGATTTATTAAATATATTGATTCATGCTTACTGAATATATATATTAAAATAAATTAAGCACTAATATCTGTAGGTGTCATTTCAAATGCAGCTGTCACTCACATGCAACGTGATGTTGAGGCTACATAACATCAGCTGTCTGAAACACTTACTGTGGAATAATGCATACTGTTTTTCACTTACCATTTAAAAAAAATAGTAGGCAGTATTCAGGTTTCAGACAGAGAACAGTCTTACATACATGTGCATCTTTAGCCGTGTCACTGCACTAGTGTGTGAGTGAGAATTAGTGAACTAAGTACATCTTGATTCTCTCTGAACTGTCAGGCAGGTGTTGGCAAACGTAGACGGATGTGTTAAATCTACTGATCCTGTCACCACTTAGCATGTGGTGACACTAACAGTCCAGCAAAACATGCTTAAATGAGTATAAGAGAGATTCACAACAAACTGGGCTGTGATTAAAGGCAGCGATTAGCCGTAATTAGCCCTCACTGATCATCAAAATGGACCATTTATAGAGTAGAGATGAGGTCCATCTCCAAGCAAGGTGTTCACACATACAGCGTCTCTTTCTGGAGGTCGGCGGATACCAGTTTTGTTGGTTGTGGTACGTGTCCGACTGCTGGGTGCCGTAATGTTATCAGTGGCATGTGGAACTGGCCTGAGCTCAACAGGGACATGCTGGAAGTAAAAATACAATGTCATTCTAATAAGATGTTGAAAATTGAAGATTATGGAGAGAAACATGTTTGTATTTAAACTGCAGCCGTGCATAACACACCAGACTACTGCGATGGCGCCGCAGACGGCAGCCTCAGTGTTTGGCTCTCCAGTGTTTGTACTGTTTTTGTTAGTTTTTCCTGTTTTTTGTTTCTCAAACACGATCAGTTTTACCAGGGATGAGCTGCTGAACATTCGGCAGAACTGCATGTGTATTTTATTCACATCTCATTTTTATTATCTGTGTGTTGTTGTTGTCTCCGTGTACTGGAAGCTTGTGACACTATAACAAATTCCTTGTATGTGCAAACATACTTGGCAATAAAGCTCTTTCTGATTCTGATTCTGATACACTATTAAAGTTTGGTGAAAATCAAGCTTTTAATCACGTTTACACATTTTCTGGTGTTTTTAATAGGCTTAAAGACAATTCATGTGCAAATTCATCACTCAACACTATTGCTGTGCATTTTCTCCTTAAAAATGCAGTGTATCACAGACAGTTGCAAAAATGCACAAACATGTAACCAATAGCGTCAACTATAAATAACGTGTTAAAATGAATGCATATAACGCACGCACCCCACCCAGACCTGTACGTCCTCTTATACTGATGCAGCTGCTGGTGAACATGATGCAGGACGACTGACTGTGTGATGCAGCCTATTAGAATGTAGTTAAATGCAGTGTTGGGGGTAACGCATTACAAGTTACGCAGTCAGATTACTTTTTCAAGTAACTAGTAAAGTAATGCATTACTTTGAAATTTACAACAACATATCTTGAGTTAGTTTTTCAAATAAGTAACGCAAGTTACTTTGTTGTCCCATTTATTCACTGACAGCTCTCCTTCCCCCATGTTGAGAGAAATTGGGAGTGAGGTGCAGAGGCACTTCCTTCAGCCTGAGGCTTATTAATTCACTTTTGGTGTAAAAGGGCCTTTACAGTTGCCAAAAATATAGCCTATAACTTTCAGGTTTTTTGTCATTAAAGTCAAATAAGCAAGCCCAGCCCAGGTGACAAAAAGTAACGCAAAAGTAATAAACACATTACTTACCATAAAATGTAACTAACACAATTAGTTACTTTTTCATGGAGTAACGCAATATTGTAATAACACATTACTTTTAAAAGTAACTTTCCTCAACACTGAAGTTCAAGATAAAATTCAAGATATGAGGGCGAAAATGCCCCTGCATGGGTTTTTGGCTTATATTTATATCATATATTTATACAGTTTATCACACAAGCAAACGTGCTGTTGTTTTCCTGAATATCTGTCCTACTGCAAATGTGATATAGATTTTTTTTACAACAGTTCAATAAACGAAGTTAGACAGTATTGTCAGTATTGTGCACTTGCTCTATTTTGCCAACGTAAATAGTTCCAAACAAAGCCACAGCAAAACTGTTGTTCCGTTACTGAATGAATCTGCGCTTTTGAACGAATCGAGTGAATCACTGATTCAGTGACTCATTCATAAAGACAGCTGCCTTGTCCAAATACCCACACTTGCGGTCTTTGCACTTGACCACTTGAACACTAATATGACGTATTTCCTGTATTTGGACCAAAGTGTTCAAGTGAGATGGGACACACTTGTAGTGTTGTAAAAATGCAAGTGTTTACATAGCTTTATTTAAATTTAAATTTTAAATATTTTGCATTTTAAAATCGACTTCTAAATGTCTGTTCAGTAGTCCCTATAACATGACAATGTGTGTTTTTCTGTCAATATGGGGTGCTGTGTGTACATTAATGAGGAAAAAAAATTAACTTAAATGATTTTAGCAAATGGCTGCAATATAACAAAGAGTGAAAAAGTTTAGGGGGTCTGAATACTTTCCGTACCCACTGTATATTTAAACGAGTATTCATATGTATTTAAATGTGTTGTTCTGCCACACGTACATTTATTTATGTTTGCATAGACACTGAAACATAACAAATTTATAGTATTCAAAAGCATCGAACACTTAAATTATTTACATATAAGCAACTTTAAAGACATACAAGTGCACAAATCCTTATTTTCAAATATTATATTTAGATTTTAGTGTATTCAGTCATATCAGTTTTTACATTTTTGCAATAAATTATTGTAAGTGCACTTGTCTGTCTGTCATGTTTTTTTTTATCCCGTTCATATTTTTAAAGAAATTATTATGGTTAGATTTAAAGGTAAGAGTGGTATTAGTGACTCAAAATATATTTTGTTTTTATTGCTATAATGTTATTAAAATTGACATTGGAGGCCTACATAATTCTGTCCATTACTTTTTATAAATCATTTTTATATATTATTTTTTATTCTTGATTTTACATCAAGTTTTTTTATAGTTGCACTTTTAGCATTTTATGATAAATTCATAATTATTTACATTACGTTTCTTTAGCTGTAAATACATAATAATGTTTTAGATGTTTTCAGTAAATCCATATAGAACATCAAAATCCAGCCACATATTTGTTTAGAGCTGTTTTGGACTGTTTTGGTTTGTAAACGGTGCTTGATCTGTGCAGATTTCTCTCCTGATTCAGACCAGACCACTTTTTCACCGGAGGAAGTGTTATGATGGATTATGAACTCGTATTTTAGCCGGAAGCAAAAGTGTCTGAATGATGTGGATTATTGTGATGTTTTTATCAGCTGTTTGGACTCTCATTCTGACGGCACCCATTCACTGCAGAGCATTCATTGCTGAGCAAGCGCTGAATGCTAAATTTCTCCAAAATCTGATGAAGAAACAAACTCATCTACATCTTGGATGGCCTGAGGGTGAGCACATTTTCAGCTAATTTTCATTTTTGGGTGAACTATTCCTTTCAGTGTAAATGGAGCCTATGATGCATCTGATTTGATTTGCTACACAATCTCCAGCGCGTCGACGTGTAATGATGAATTAATTAAATTCACAAGCAAACAAACCTGCCACATTCCATAGTCTGTTCACACTTCAGCCGTCGAGGGGATTCTGCTGCGGCGACAGACAACTGAGGATCAGATTCAAATTCATCAAGATCAAATTCAAATTCATTAAACTGCAATCTGGAAGACTAATTGAGCTATTAAGAAATAAATAGAAGTCTGGAAGAAACACTGAGGCGAGATTTTGAACACACATTTATTTGTCGCCAGGGGCCCCGAAGCCTGCGGTGTGATTTCCTCACGGCTCTGCCATCGGAGTTTTTTTGGTTGTTAAACTTTAGTGTTTGTAAAACTGATACAAGTTGCAAAGTAGGGCTGCACGATAAATATCGCACGATATTTGCAGCTTGTCTGTGAACAACGGCTCTGTGTAGTAAATGCTGCTCCACGTGAAAGCACGCACGTGTAGAGATTTACCGCTGATTACAGAAGCGGCTTTACTGACGAGATGCGCATTAAATATCGTGCGATATTTATCGTGCAGCCCTACTGCAAAGGTTTGCTGGAAGCTGCTTTTGGGCTTCACTTCAGAACTGCCTTTAAACTATGAGTTAATAAACACTTTACAACACACATTATAAACACATTACACCAGGAATTATTTACAAATTATATTTTTGAACAAAAATTAAGCCTACTTTTGATAATTTTTTGACACATCCGCTCCCCCCCCAATTTCTAATTGTTGTAATATTTTATATATATTTTTTAACTTCAATCAACATTAATTAAAGGCAGTATAGACCAAAACTAAATACCAAAACTACTGAATTTTAAATATAATTTAAATAAACCTGGCTTTTTATAATTATAGTAATTGCATTATGATAATGAAAATAATTGGCAGGTAAAATATGAAATGAAAATTATGCCACAGTCAGTGACATTTTATCATCATTGCGATACTATTATAGTTTTGATTTAGAATTAGTTATATTTTCAGTTGTCATTCATTTTTATTATTTAGTTTTTTTAATGTCTATATAGTTTTTAATTGTATTATATAATTATATAAAATTTAGTAATGAGATTTCTTTGCGTTATGATAATGAGAATTGGGGGGGGGGCGTAAAATATGTAATGAAAATCATGTAACAATCAGTGTCATTGCATCACTGAGGTACAATTATAGTTTTTATTAATATTTTAAATAATTTTTTTTGTTTTTATATTTTCTGTTTTCATTTTAATTTAGTAATTTTCATTTAAAATGTATATATATATATATACACACACACACAGTTTTTAATAAGTTTATTTCAGTTTTAGTTATTTTAGTACATAGTTAAGTACTTAAACTAAATTAAAATGAGAAATGTTTCCTTGGTAACTAGCTGAAAAAAAAATGAGTAATAAAGATATTTTTTTAATATATATATTTTAAATCATTATTTTTGTTTCAATTTCAGGAGTTTTAGTATTATTTTAAGTAATGAAAGATTTTTTTGTTTTAGTTTTAGTAAAAAAAAATGCAAAAATTAAATAGAAAAATACAATTACAAATAAAAAAATCAGGCTATTATTGTTATTCTTCCAATTGTTGCAAATGGATGTAATGAATGAATTAAAAAAGGAAGTTCAAATGCAAAACTGATTATACCAGAAGTAAGAAAGAAGAAGAAAAAAGTTAAGAAATCAATATCAGTCTCCGATTTCCCAATCGGTGCACAACCAATAATACCAATTATTTACTCAGAGTCATGAGAAATCTGAACACACACTCTCTCTCAGTCAGCTTTGTAAACTGCATGATGATCTGCACTGGCTCCAGATGCACGAACTGAACTTGTATTGAAGGAAACCCCATCAGTTTCTGCTCTCTCTCTCTCTCTCTCCCGCAGATGACGCCCAGGAGAGACTCTCAGCGAGGAAGTCTCCATTCAAGAGCTCAAAGAACACGCTAATTATCCGCCCTCTTATTTTGCATCTTCAAAGGATGCGTATCTTCCCGTGGAATATCATTTGATAAGCAATAATGTCAAATGCTCATTCAGAATCAAATCTCTGAAAATGTCAACCGTGTCCATGCAG